CACGCCAACTGAAGTGAACCATTATCATATGCCTCGGATATGATCGCCTCCGCTTCATGCCATGCTCGCTTTCGCGGGTAATAACTGCATCCAACAGGCGGTGTCGCCCCGAACCCGAGGGGCTCCTGCAGCGCGCGCTTCCACGTAGGCGTATCCCCCACGAGTAATGGCGCATGCACAGGCGCATGCGTCTTCACACTGGTGCCGTGATCCACCTCTGGCTGCTGCGCCCGCGACTGTAGTTTGGCAATGACTAGTGCATAGTCGTAGACCGTTCCCATCGCACTCTTCCAACAAGTCGGTCCCGTTGGCATGTGTAACTGGCCCCTGACCTGTCGGAGCCATTGTTCTTCCCATTCGGTTGGCTCCAAGTTCCAGTCTCCCAGCGCCATCCAGTCCATCCCAAGAACATTAAGCATGCCGACGTACCTAAGGACTTCGCTACTGATAAACCTGTTGCCTGGGCTCAAGCCTTGGCAGTCATGAAGGTGCGCGATCATGATGATTAGGCCCTTCGCGACTCCCAGTGCGCATGCGCTGCCAGAAACCTTGCGGGCGGAACGCCGAGCTGCCCAACGAAGGGGGCCTCGGTTACCATGACCTCTGACGTGGTGATAACACATACGCCCCCCGAAGTGCCTCCGTCCTCGGTGGCCGGCGCCTCCGTCCAGATGCCGCGGTACCCGACATCCAGACCTTCTTTCCTCTGTGATTGCAGTCGGTCGCCAACTGCGTGATGCTCCTGCGCCGCGATAGTCTTGCCAGGCGGCTGCTTTTCTAGATAACGAACAAGCGTGCCAGCGCCCGTGACATTAACCGTGGTGACGATTCCTTTGACCTCTGCTGCGTGCCCGACGTCCGGTGTCTCACTGTCTCGGCGTGAACGTCGAAGTTGTACCTTGCCTAGACAAGGGCGACGCCGCCGTCGATCCCCCCCCCCCCCCCCCGAGATCCTCAGCCCTCCGCCGCGCCTTATCAGCTCGCGGCCAGAGCCTTCCAAGGATGGGGGCAATACCTGAAGACTTCCCATTGCGCGTCGTAGCCGCCCCCGTGGCCCCCTGCCCCGACCAGGATGGCGCAGTCGTCGATCCCCCTCCGAGATCCTCGGTCTAAAGCCGCAAAGGTTCTCCTTGCTGCGTGAGCCTTCCATGGGCGGGGGCAATATCAGAATCGCTACCATGGCGTGCCTTGGCCGTGCCCGCGGTGCCCTGACTCGACAATGAAGGCCCCCTTGTCGTTCCCCCTTCCGAGATCCTCGGTCTCCTGTTGGAGCCTTCCAAGGATGGGGGCAATATGCGGCTCGACCGCCCTTCCCGACCGAGAAACGGGCGCCAGCAAAAACCCATGCCTTCTTGATGGCCCAGTTTCTTGATTGCCGCGTTGCAGGGCAGTAGCTGAAGAAGTGGGCAACCAGCTCCCTTGCAATCGGGAATCGCTACCTGGGTCCAAGACCATGGGGGCGTCCTCCTTCGGCCTCGTGAGCAGTGTTTTCTGACTGTCATTGGAACTCGCCATGGCTTGCATAGAAAGACAAAGCCGCCAACTCCAACCAAGAATCCTGCGACTAATCATAGGGCGAATACGCGGCGACCCGTCGGTGCAACACGTTCGCTGCCTGGCGTAACTTGGCGGCGTCGATCCGCTGCAGCTCTTCCTTCGCGAAAGGTAGCACATCCGCGAACAGTTGCTGCAGCTCGCCCTCGGCGACATCTTGCAGGGGTGGTAGCTCAGGTCGCGGCTCTGGCGTAGCGCACCCTTCCACTTCACCTGGTAGCAGCCCACCTTCAGCGTCAGGTCCTGCCGCTGGTGCGCCATGGCCGCTCCCCGCCACCAGGTGCTCGAGCTCATCCGCTCGCACAATATTTTCCAGAAGCGCGTCCTGCAACCCATGCTGGCGTAAGATGCTGCCCAGTAGCTCCAGTGATACAGTACACCCAGGAGTAACCTCCTGCGCTTCACCGTTGGGCTCGCCTGCTGGGGTCGGGACCACCGTCTGCTTTGCCAATTGTAATCTCTGCGACTCAATTTCAACCATCTGTACACGAAGCTGCTTGAGCTGCTCTTCTTCGTCGGCGATCTCTTTTTTAAGTCTTGAGTTCATGACGCCGTTGCTGAACATGCTCATCTGCCCGAGTAATCCTCTGTGACAGCTGGTAGATCTTGCGATTGACCTCCGCGATCTGAGCTCCGATGGGCTTCTGTGTACGCCGCCGTTCTTGCAGCCGCTCTTTTTGTCGGAGGAGTTCTTGTCGTACTGGCTGCAGCTCAGGTACCACTTTGACCAAACTCTCGGGCACCCGCTGAAGCTTGTTTTCCGTGATTCGTATCTGGTCCTCCAGCGCAGTTTCGCCATCGCCGTGAGGACCCCCGCCGCCATCGTCCTCAGCAACAGTATCCATGGCACCATCATCGCGAGCACGGAGCCGCGCCTGCAAATCAGCCACCTGCTGCTCCAGGCGCCGATAACGATCCTGCACCCAAGGCTCAGGACGGGAACATGAAGTGGAAGATTTTGAGCCTTGCCCTGCT